ACTTCTGGCCGACCATATCGAAGGCCGAAGGCCGTGGACGGTTAAGCATGCTGATCTGAGACGGGAAGCTGGTCAGCCTCTCGTCACTGGTGTTGGGAGCGTAGGCGACCCGGGGTCTGCTGGGACGTCGGTCTGACTCCATTGGAGACAGTGGCGTGTACTGCTTAGAAACTGGTGGTGGAACACCACCGTCCGACTTCTCGATGGCCTCTGGGGCAGGCTGCTGAGATGGCGGAAGTGGAGCCAAATGATGGAGAGCAGTGGTGCCATCGAGAGTGGGCTTATTAAAGTCCGTGGAATCATCGTGAGGCGGCTGCGGAGAGCTTTCTACATCACCGTCGTCTGAGAGTTCATTGTGATCCCTCGTATCTACAGGGCAGAGACAATCGTAGGTGCTGGAAGCTGGGAAGTCCATTTTGCTAAAATAATAGAAGAAGAAAAACAATTACAGCTGTCGCTTTTTTTCAGATGGACAACTTATTATGCGAGCACCAGATACAGAGGCCCCTCGAAGAAAGGCAATTTGGAGTCAAGGTTAGGTAATGAGCGTATGCTAAAGGAGTCCTCCGGTTATCTTGATTTTTTGGTAAATTAAATGTCAAAAATTGGACTGACTGAGTTAGAGCTTTGATCCTAAATGTGGATGGACTGGTAGTGGAACTCTGATATTTAGGTCATTGGACCGCGTACTATTTTTCAGTTTTGTTTTTTGAATTGACATATAAATTTAGTGAAGTTGTGTGCTCTCAGTATCCAAAGATTCCAGGCAGGAACAGCGGTTCCAGCAGGTGTGGGTTTTCAGTGTGGATAGATGACGAAGGTTAACAAATCAGAAATGATGATTCCTACCTGTGCTGGCGTTGTGCGCAATACATTTTTTCGCATTGATATTATAAGTCGCTACGCGATTGCGTTTGAGGACTCGAGGTCGCGGCCCAATAGTCGATGGGTTGAGCAACTACAATAATGAGATGGTAGACCAGACCATAGATGATAGCATGCGTTCGAAAGGTGCCCGTGTGCACTCCGTGTCGTTGCCAACTAGTAGCACGCGCCATTCTTATTTTGCCATATTGGAGAGAAATTTTTTAATGTAATACTTGGAGCCAAAATATCCATCTGTATCCAACCGACATTTGTAAGCACGTGTCCGAATCAAACTGAACAGCAGAGAGGCTGCCTTGTGGTGTTGGCTGGCATACAGCAGACCTGCTTTCGAATCAAATGTTAACCGAAATTCGGAAGTTTATTTTCGATTAAGCATATTATGTGTTAATAATATATAGGTAAGGAGCCATATATTTTTAGGATACTTCAGACACACTAGCGTGTCAAATTTTGAAGTAGCTGCAACCAAGCAGTCGTCAACACTTTGTCCCGGGAACACGTACAACTAAAATGCATGTGTTTTATATTTATTTTAAAGCAAATTAAAAGTAAGGTATAGTATAAGCCCACCGCGCTGCCAAGCGCATGTCCTCCGTCCCCCCAAGGTACCCAAACTATTACCCGGTAGGTGGGCAGGGGTGCAAGCCAAAAGGCGTCTTAGCCGAAACAGACTTCACCCACCCCCGCGCTTCGAATGTCCTCCCCCGCCACAACAGGAAGCTTAGGTGTGACAGCGAGACACTGGTTTTAGATGAATGAGAGGAGAGAGGGAGTGCGTTCGATGCTGCAGGAAGTCGACTGTCATTTCAATCCTAACTCACGCTCAAGTCACTGAACCAGCCTGTTTAGAGCATAAGTTGGACCACATAAAAACTGATGGCCGAACTGTCACGTGCAAAAGCAGGACATATTCGTAGCTCACAAACCAATCTGGGCGCTCGACCAATACAAAGCTTTGTCAAGTGGCCTTCAAAGGCTACACCACCTGTAAGTGCATATTTCCACCATTCACGCATGGCAGATATTGGGCTATTAGTAAATACACGTTCCTTTAACCCTTCAGCCTACTAAACTCCCCATATAGGTTACGACTGTATACTACGTTATCAATTCTTCATGCACGTACAGGCCGCACTACAGCTTGCCACTTACTAGCTTTAGCACTTATGATTACTAGAACTAGCACTTTTAGCCTAGACACAGCACGTCTAACAGAAGTATCCTGAAAAATGGCACATGTCACTTTGTTACCACCTGGATGCCTGATAGATCCTCAGCTCTTATTACATATAGATTTTTTAAACCTTGAGATTACTAACATCCCCTTATAGGTCTAAGCCTGAACACTAGGCTAAAACGTCATACATGTACGTACAGGCCGCATTGTAGCTTACCGCATACTGGTCTTCGCAAGTATGGTCACTAGAATTAGCACTCCTAGCATAGGCACAGCACTTTCAACAGTAGTATACTGAAGATCAAGGGAACACGGCCTCAGACCTGATTCCAATCAGTGTCATTTCTGACTAACTATAAGCAGCAGTACTACTGGCCTCGACTTGAGAGTGCGGAAAACAAGGCAAACCCACCGCCTTGCTAGGGACGCCAAGCATGTACTTACCCGAAATAGTTAAACCCAGATTCACAAGAAGATATGAGCCCTAGCGTTGGCTTAGTCAGCGTCACCGCTCACAAATGTTGGCATTAGTGCTAGCAACAGTACTACTACACTTCTTGCTGGGATTGAGGAGAGACACACCCTGGGCTGACTTTAACCAGCGTCACTTCTGACTTACAATACAGTCTGAAATAGTAGCAGCAAAAATATCACTCAGCTACAGCCTAGAAGTACTATTAGAAATAGCAGAAGTGGTAGTAGCAGTACGAGCCCCGGCTTCTTAGAATCAGGCTAGAAACTTACTATAGGTGAGTGGGAGTAGACAGTGCAGTAGTACCCGCGCAAAGTCTACTGTTACTAAAGATTAAGTTAGGCGGAGTTTCTGGCTGCATCTGAAGAAAGCGGCTTACACCTGATTCTTGCTCGGTTATCTCGACTTTGTCTTGTCACCGGTTTAAAGCGGATGAAGGTTTAGAGTGGGGTAGATGGCGGCTCATCTAGTTTCTCTATATCTGGGCACAGGCACTGCCCCTACTCTCGGGCAAATGGTGGACATCACCGATTACGGTGGTCGAACACACACATAGTATGTTGATAGAAATGCAAACGTTTTCAGTTAGCAGATCAGTAAGTCTTCCTTAATCATTATAGTGGAGTAAATGGCATGATTTGGGTTTTAAAAACGTCTAAAATGAAAAGGTATGAATATGAGCACTTATTGTTTTTAAAACTGTATTTCAATTTTTAAAACTGTAGGCTATATGTTTTCACTTGAAAAAGCAATCATTTATATAAGTCATTAAGAAACAAATGCTCTCTCGTCAAAATAAGTAGTTATTGTCGGCCGCACAGTAATGGACAATACTACTATCGACTTATTAATGGGCTCTTTAAGGTCTTACATAATATAGCACTTTTAACCCTTTCTTTAACTAAATGTCGACCTTACTTTAAGTTTTGCCCTTTAAGTAGACTAGCTTTGTGTAGCACACAAATATAGCACTAACTACGATTGTTTAAGAGCAGAAATTGTAAAAAAGGGTGTTCTTTTGCATGAATGTACGGATGAACATTTCCTTGTGGCGAAATAATCTTACGTAATAAACGGTAAGTCGCCTTAGCGACTACAGGACAGCCTTGCTAAGAGTAAGTTACTTCCGAACGGCGACACATAATAGTATCATCAATATTTTCCTCACAACAACTCGTCTCAAGTAAACGTCTGTACCCGAAGGCAGGTGCCAAAAATTATGCTTATTTGTCATGCGATAGCATGTCCGCATATTTTAGCTTGTTACAGCTTGTATGTACCACGAACGCAGTCCTGTTTCTTGCGCTGACCACGCGAAGGTCAACAGTAACGATGATAGTAACACGAATATACGTAAAGGTTCCGAAGTTCTACCGTAGGTTTTCGAAGAGATCTACCGTGTGCTTTATCGAGCTGATTACAAGCGTGGTCACTTACACGTGAGGTATTTTAAAGTGAGAGTAGAAATCCGTAGTCTCTCTTCCATCAGTCATTTGTGCACGAGGCAAGAACAGCGCACTTGGAATCGGACTTAGGTTGCAGGTGCGGCGTAAACCTGCACCTACGCGTGCTAACATCCCCCACTCCCTCGGCCTTTGATCTGCGAACAGAATACGAATAACACCAGTCATGCCCTGATCTGGCCTCCTTGTTGGTTCAGCGCGCCTTTTACGCGGGGGCATATGCGTACCTACACGGACATGATTGAGGAAACCTCACGGTACATGTTGCTGGGAGCCCCACAAAGTTGATAAACAGTAAACATGAAATCGAAATACCAACTTCAAAATATTCCAGGTGAAACGTGATAGGAGGGAAGCGCTGTTTACGGTGTATCTGTTGCGCCTCAGCTTAACAACCTCTAATTACGCATTTTTTCTAGCCCACCGAGTTAATCGTTTTCAGGAATCGGAAAGTACCTAAGCAACATGCCACTCTTGAAGCGGCTGAGCGTAACGAAAGCAGTTGTTTAAGACTACTTTACTTGCCACAACAAGTGATAATATCGTATTGTCAGAACGATTCAGACGCCTTCACGTGGCATTAGTGACGGAAATTGCAGAGCAGATGAGCAAAGCAAAAGTCAGCTAATCCACCCGCTAAGGTTGTATTGGAGATTTTAAAAGGATCAGCTGCTCGGTCACCTATTTGACTAATAGTAAATCAAACTTTGTAAAGTTTTTTTGATTAACGAGGATTATTTAGGCGGACTGTTATAGTGATTTACTTAGAACATTATCCCAATACACTTCCGCCAGGTTTAAAAAGGGGTTATTTTGGCCAAAGTCCAATTCAGAGCGCAGGAACTTTTGAAAGATTATGAATCTGCTCATTCATGTTTGAAATAATTTTATGTTCAAGTATATTTTCCTTATAAAAATCACCAAAATATTATTGAATGCACTAATCTGAAAGAAATTAATTTCGTCTTAAATAGCATAATGAAGAAGAACTCTTTTTTGTAGGTTACATTTATTCCAAATAATGAGATGTTCAACATTCTGAAATGTCTATTTACACCTCATCGTCTATGACTACATTAACCTGTTTGGAGCATAACTGGGGCATCAACAAAATAGATGGCCGAAGCTGTCGCGTGCAAAGCCGAGAGTTATTAGTTGCTTACGAAACTGTCTGGGCGCTCGATTGACACAAAGCATTATCATGGGACTCTCAACGGCT